GTATCCAAAAATACTTCTTTAAGTCTTTTAAACACCTTTGATTAATATATACATATTGTTGGGTTGATTTCAAAAGTTTATATATGCTTATGTAAATATATATATATAATAACTTTATGGGTTTGGTTTATTTTGGTCTTAACACACAAATATGACTTATATATGTATCACATATTTATTTTGGGATGATTTCAACATATGGATTAACATATATGTTCATGTACGTATGTGATGAATGATTTGACAAGTCTAACGCAAAGGTACAGACCTAGAAATCATCGGTCGAAACCTTACGGATGAGCGGGAGTGGAAACAACCTCGGAATTCACCAACTTTGTCATTCCCGTCACAATTGGACAGCCTGCGGTATTCTGGGCATATCTCCATCGTTACTTCACGGAATCGCAAACCGTTAGATTCTATGGATTCCTAAGATGTAAGGCTACATTTTTCGTATAGAAAGTATTTCGTTTTAACATACGTAAGATAGCGTAAATTGGACCTGAAGTCAAGGGATAGTTGTTGTCCAGGATTTTGTATATGTGATGAACAATGATTCCGACGATTAACTCATTAATTTCAACATTCCAACACCAAACCTTCTTTACGATACTTCCGGATGTTCCTAATAATTGTTAGAGAGTTTATGATGAGTATTTGGAATGGAACAACATAAATATGGTGAAGAAACATAGCAAATCCCGAGGAACTCGCCACCACTGGCACAGTCCCGGTATTTTGGCCATATCTTCTTCGTTACTCAACGAAATCGCGAACCGTTTGTTGGGCTGGATTCGTGTCGTCCGGGGCTACAACTTTGGTTCAAGAAGTATTTCGAGATAATGGATGGAAAATTACAGAACTTACGTAGAAGTTGATGCTGCGTTTGGAACTCATGATTTGGAAACTATGGATGGTTTTCTTGCTTCTTCATCTCCTTCCTTAGTACACAACAATGGAGTTGGAGTCTCCTTTCCTCTTCCTTGAGGGCTGGCTGACAGAGAGAGAATGGAGAGGAGAGAGGAGTGTTGTGGCCTGTGGGGGGATGATGGGAGATGATAATGATGGTGATATAGTGAAATTTTATTATTTTGTTTTTGGTTTTAGTATAGGATTGGAGATTTGTTGAGGTGGCTTTGTAGATTTTGAAGGATTCCCAAAGGTGGCATGCGTGATTGAAAAGATTTGGAGATTTTAAAATATTCTCCTACTCCGTAACTGATAAACTGGCTAAAACGGTACGCGCTTATTCGCCCAAACTGCTCCAAATTGAAAATGGGTTGTATTTTTGGAATGAGACTGTCAAAACTAGAATTTTGACATAATAAAAATATTTTTCTGAGAACTTTTATTTTTCTCAGTGTTCAGGTCTATCTCAGTCATAAATTAATTTAATAATATGAATGAGATAAAAATATACGAATTAAATCCAAATGATTAATATGATGTTGTATGAAATCACTTTTGAACTGAGTTTATTTTATGAGTCAAAGTTACAAATTTTAATATTTAAAATCACCATAGCTTGAAATCTATAAATCAGATTGGTTCATAAAATGTACCGTTGGATTCGTCTCTTCGAGACATATCCATAAAAAAAAGTTTTTAACAAAAAGTCATTATTTTGAAAATCCCTTTAATTTTGGTCAAACGTATAAATATTCTTTATTGGTCAAAATGTTATTCAAATTTACTTTTGTTTTATAATAAATTTTAGGCCATATTTTGTGGCGTTACATGATCAATCATTCAGTTCGTATTCAAAGTTCATTTGTGTTGTTAGCTAATGACGGCAGCATATGATTATTCTTTTTCAAGATTTCTCATTGATTAGCAGGATTGTTTCGTAACGTTCACACTTTCCGTGAGGTCGACAATGGAGTTTATGAAAGATTGTTTCACCATTAGGCTCTTCGAGTTTTAGAGGTTGTTTCATAAGTCTGTCTCGAGTTATTCTGTTCTCTATCGCACTATCACATCACGATTCCTGTAGCATATCGTCATGGCCAGTTTCACGATGTTGTCACTTTTTACTTGGGTTGCTCTCGAGAGAATTCAACTCCCGGGGCTTAATAATAGCGGATTACTATTCGATTATTATTCATGTTCGAAAATGTGTTCGCGCCATTAGTGTATTAGTTTGTTTTGTTCAAGTATGTGACAAGATACATTCCTAGTGGCAATTAATTCGATCGTCTATTTATCAACGGCTCTCTTTCTGAACAGAAAGAAGATTCTTCACCATGTAGTTCGTCTACGATTTTCAATAATTTCAAGGTAATGAGGACTTACATATTTTCATCTTAAGAGCTCGGTTAATAAAATATTTTGCAAATTCATTCATAACGGCTTCATAACCACCTTTCATTCACCAATTTGTCATGCGATCCGTTCAAAAGGGGATTTAGATGCTTCAGGTGACGAGATACAACACCTTCTTCTCATCCATGCGTACACGTGTCTTCGTTGTTGGTGGAGTAAAATCTTCATCGTTTGAGATCTTCAACGAGATTCTTCAGGAATCGTAAGAACGTACCAACCGGTACAGTAGGGTCACGATGATTTCTTTGATGTGTTTATTTAGAATACGTTCTTCACTATGCTTTAGTCAACTTTTTCACAGAGTACAAGTTTAAAAGTCAAAGTCAACGTTATTGCACAGAATTCTTGCCACACAAGGCATCGCTATCTTCATGGATACGTCATTACTTGATTTTGGAAAGAGGTCTTGTCAATTAGTTACAGAAATACCATCTCCACTCACGTGTAGGAGTTTAACCATCGTCAATGGGTCAAAGTGAAGAACAATTAGTATAATCAACGTGCAGGTGTATATTACTGATAAAATTTAACGGTTCAGGAATATTAGTTGTTCGTTTGTCACGATATTCAAACCTAACATTTGTACCATCACACAATCGGCAAGGTGTTTCAAGAGTTTCCTCCTAAGGATCGTCGGTCTTTATCGCATTTCTCGAGCGGGTCTTTCGAGACCCCTTCGCTATACGATCTACATACGTTTGTGATTAAATTCGAGGGTTGTCCCACATCAGATAGTGAGTTGTCGACTTGTTTCCTACGGAACAAGTTTCGTCGTGATTCATCCATCATTTGCAAGTTTGTTTTGCGAGTCAAGGTACTTCATCAAACGTCGTAGCGACTGACATCCACGTACGTGTTATCCATGTCACATAGTCGCTCTGTACAATTCGTTGATTGGCTCGCGGGATGTCAATTGCCTATTTAGATTGTGTACTTGTCGTCTAACGGTTCATGTGTCGTACTTGTGGGTGCTGTATTGTCAGCATTCATCATCGTCATACGATCGTCGTCATCATCTGTATTCTTTCGTGTCATGTTTGTCAGTTCTGCAGCGTCAATGATTATCGATATATATAGTCTCGTCGGATGTACGGCACACCATAGTCGTCATGGGAGTGTATCATACGCCCCCTAGCTTGTATATTTCACGTGGTATTAATTACGAGATTCTTGTCACCAATTCTTTGTGTTCAAGATGGAGTGTCAACGTGCAGTTGCGTCGCACACATTTGTTGTGCTCATGTTTGTTTCGGCTTCATACCCTCGATGGGTCATGCTTGGCCCGAGTACTCGATGTAATTTGGTGTTCAACATTATCGTGCTTCACCGCTTTCAAGCAGTACGTAGGGATATTTTAACTTCACATTCTTGGCGCGCATTCAGGGATTTGTCCCCAAGTTTCAGGTGGCATTCCACTTATTGACATGACATTAATAGTAACGTATTCGACCTTAAGTGCATTCATCGGTCTCGGAGTAGGTTCGCCCTTCGTGAGTCGTAACCTAGAATCTGCAATGGCATGGTCAAGATTAAGCGGATTCATTCTTGGTTCATTAAAGTTATATCTCAAATAGTTTTTTTAGTCATACTAATGAGTGTGTGGGGCGTTCCACTAACGTCACCACAAACACTATCGGCGTCACCAATGCCTACTACTTAGATTTTTTTTCTAACGGGTCAAAAGCCCTTCAATGGTGCGTCTGCTAACGGCCCAACACATTTCTATGTGTCGATGTCGTAACCTCTTTCAAGTCCGCTTCATTCGTCTCATCTTGTCGATCAAGGCACGTCGGTACGTCACGTCTTGCAGGATAGATTATTCATTACACACCTTTGGTTTGTATCCAGCCACATCACTACACTATGATGTGCTGGTGGTAAGTATTGCTTTCTTTATCAAACAAGTTCTCTTTGTCCTTTATACGGTCATTCCTGTTTGACACCAAAATAAGACTCCCTCATCCATCCAGGTCTGCAGCCCCTTCAGAACTTGGTTGTCCATTCTAGTGATCATATGAGATAACCGAATATTAGACAAGATACTTTATTATGAGTATATTTTTACACTATTTTCTTTTGTTACCTAGCATCTCGTTGTCAGAGTTGATGCTAGCATTCACATTATAGTAATAGGTTCCATCTACAGGATGTGAATTCCTATCTTAGACTATCGCATTTCAGTATGCACAATAACCAACAATTGAAGCTCAACACAGATATTCCAACAGTCAACCTGACGCAGACATTCAAGCAATCAGCTTCATACAAGTATTTGAGCAATCAGCTCAGCATAATTATTCGAACAAACAGTTTAGTTTAAGTAACTTGAGCAATCAGCTTCATACAAACATTTAAGCCATAATAATTTATTACCTTCCCGGGAGGCAGAGATGACGTGGAGGATGCAGATGCAGTACTTAGGAATAACTTTTGATATTGTTGATATTATCAAAATAATATTACTTTTACCTTCTTTTTTTTTGAAATGACATTTTGCAATGGTCCGAAGACCGGCTTTAAAACCATATGCTCTAATACCAAAATGTAACGCCCCAACCCGCATAACCCGAGTAAATAGATTAGCGAATCGGGTTGCTACTAAATTAGTATCCACATACAATATTTTTCCAATAAATTAAAAATATTTAATTTAAAACTAAATAATACAAAACCATTTAAATACATATCAGAGTTTATACAAACGGTGCGGAAGCTTTATAATTAAATCAAACATTATGAAATCCCTGCATCCGTACATCTCCTCCGTCACGCTGCCCTCCAGGATGTACTTCAAGGTCAACCCCTCCATGATTACCTACCATACGTGTAACAAGGGGAAAAGAGGCTACACGCTCAGGAACGAAGCTGAGTGAGAAATATCTAACAGTTCGAACATACACATATGCGAACCCACTAATTCATAATCATAACATGATATCATGCACATAGGTTTAATATCACGCAGTTCATATAAACAATTCATCATATAATTTACCTGGCACCTGCCCTTTCTCATTTTTGTCAAAGCGAAGCGTATCTTGCCATGGTGGATCACCATCCATCTGTACTTGAATTCTACACATAGACTAATGACTTACTACTTTTCTGGGAGTCATGATTGTTCCCACTGGATCAGCGGATCATGCTCAATCAACGAGGGAGTTCTCACGGTTGGTGGATCACCAAGAACTTGTCCCTATTAACTATTCTAATCTAAGGACTATAACTTTACTGTATGGGAGACATGAGGGTTCCCACTGGATCAGCGGGTCGTGCTCAACCAACGAAGGAGTTCTCCGTTGGGTGGGTGGAATCCCCACCTGATGGATCACCAGGCAGTTCAAGGATACCCGTACGTACGTTTTTACCCGGTTCGACTTAACCATTGGAGCCCAGCAGGCAATCTCATATCCAACCTCATTGGAGCCCAGAAATTGCGTTTTTATTTCCTATACTTATGTCAGTCCCAAAGTTTCCCTCTGGGCAGACTTACCTTACCAAACGCGTTGGATCAACACGTGGTACCTGTTTGCTATGTGCTGGATCAGCCTACTCATACTTGCAATCTCATATCCAAACATATGTATTTCACATAATCACACATGTGTTAGATTACCATGATAATATTAGTTCACATAAGTGTTGGATCAACACAGAGCAATCACAATTATAACACATAGCGGCCCAGAATTGGGTATTGATATCCAAACTTACCGTCATACAACACATAAGGTCTCGGAATCAATCCTTGACGAAAACACATATCGACAGACCCGGCACCAGGTACCAGACAGTACCCTTCACGGTACGGGGTACCGTCCTCACGGTACCTGGGTACCGGTCCTACGGTATTGGGGTACCGTCCAAACTATATGAACCCGTCCGGTAGGACTGCCACGGTAGCCGTCTACCGACTGGGGCGGTAGGGCCTACCGTCCGGCCAGTACCTAGGTACCGTACGGTCGCAGCTACCGGCAGAGGTAGAAGAATCAACAGAGTATGACGGTAGCACGGTACCGTCTGACACAACAAATTCCAGCGTCAAACCAACAGAATCTCATAGCAATAAACACCAATTAATTCATATTACCATTCTAATTATTGTCAAGCACATTATTTCATCAATCGGCACCTAAATCATGCATACTCCCCTTTTCAATCGGCATAGCCCCCGAAACCACCATCAAACAGTTTAGTCACGTAATTCACGCAGATCAACCACGATAATAATTATGAACAGAATTTTAAACATATATGCACATTCTAGTGTTAGATGTCCATGTACTCACTTGATTCGTGTCGGTTCAATCAGAGCGAACATCGTGAAATCACGTTGACGGAGTTCTCACATCCCCATTCCCTAATTCCACCGTAGCTGCTGCCCGGCTTGTCCTTGTCGTCACCGGAGGTCATTGGAGAAGAGAGGACCCACGCCATGGACCCATTATCACTGCTGCCTGAACCAGTCGCCGGAGCTTCTTGGTTTGCTGGAATTCGTTGGGTCAGACCGCCGCTGCCGCTGGTTGCTGGATTGGAAGCGGAGGTCGCCGAATTCTGTGGGCATAGCTGGACACGCCGGAAATTGAGAGGGGATCGTCAGCAAACCGTGTCAGGTCTGTTCGTCGTCGTGTCCTAGGGCCATCGCCGTCGTGCGCCATCGTCGCCGGGGTTCTGATTCGTCGCCCCAGTGTCGTGATGCTGCTCGGCCAAATCGGCGAGGAAGATTGGTCTGGTGGCGGCGTTGGATCGTTCGACGGGGAAGACGCAGGGAGAGGCGGCGGTTCTCATAGAAGAAGGAAAAGGGTAAAGTCGCGTAAAGGGGTATTTACATTCCTAGGGTTTTGTGCTCTGTAATTTAAAATAGCGTGTCTAAGTAAAACACATTTTTCGGGCCAACTTGCTCCGAATTGAGATCCGTTCACATTGTTAGATTCGATTCGGCAATCCCTATCCGATGGTATAACTTTTATAATCGTTCAACAAGTATTCACAGGTTCCACCTGGTCCGTCTTAATTCTTTTGATTAATTAATACAGATTAGTCTTTTAATTTAGATCTTTACAAATATAATCAGATTAGTCTCGATATAGCGAGACAATTAGAATCTCCGAAGTATCTTAATTATTCTTTAAGGAATAAGTTGTAAATAAATAATTCCTATTTATTTAAATAAAGAATAACTTCTAGACCGATTTTCAGGGCGTTACAGTTAAGGCTAAATTATATCAATATTCTTAAACTATTTTTAGTCTAAGTCAAATTAATATTGATAACATAGCTCTTAAACTATAACTAGTCTAAGGGAATATTTCTAACCAGGCTCTTAAATTATAAATAGTTTAATGCAGAACACAAGAATTGATAATCCACCCTATGAGTCACGTGGATTACGTACCAAACCGAATAGTGATCTGTCGGGTGGGTGATATCCGGTCTAGATCTCGTACGTACGTTTTAACCCCGAATCATGAATTGGTCAAAGAGGTATATCTTAGAGTTCTTCTAGATATCCTTAATAATCATCATCGATTTTCCAAGTGGGTATATCTTAGAGTTCTTCTAGATATCCTTAACAATACACATCATTTTCATAATCATCAATATATTCATTTTTAATCATGATTTAATCATTCATAATTATTATTTTAATAAGAATATTCATCAAAGTCTGATCATAAACAACATCAATAATAATCATCACAATATCCAATAACAAATAGCGGCCTAGTATCGCGTGCTAACACTCTAGCTTATCGTCATATATCACATAAGGTTCTCTAGTTGTCCTAACATCATTTTTCTTACTCTAAAAAATTGTGTTTATATTGATGTATCAAAAATAGGATTTTATATCTTCAAAAATAGCATTTTCGGACTTAAAATGTTCGTAACGATCAACCGTTGGATCCGCACGGTCGTTCGCAAGAAAAACGGAGTTACTATTCATCATATTCAACCTTCGATCCAATTTCTCAAAACACCATAAAAGCTTCTAAGCTTTAAACTAACTTCATAAAAATGTTTTCTAACATCCATAGATTATTCACAAACAATTTATTTGAAGCTTTAACAACATAACAATTTTGATAATTATGAATACCAAAAGGGTCATGCTACACTTACACCATAAATTATACTCCATTTGTACACCGCAGTTACACACAAACACTTTGATGGTTTACACCGACACGAGTGTTTGTGTGTTAACAAAAATTTACACGGACACAAAGTGTCGGTGCATTAACAAAAATTAGTTTTACACCTACGCAAAGTGTCAGTGCAAACCTGCGGGGTACAAAGTGGGGTACAAAAGTTGGGGTACAAGTAGCTTTATCCATACCAAAATATTTATATTTTCAAATATATATGAATCAATAAGTTCAAGGATCATTCCAATGCCTTCTAAAGTTGTTTAAAATCATGGTACAGACCTGGAAATAAACGAGATGAGCTCGACGAACAAACGAGAGCGAAAACAACGTCGGAAACTTTAAAACTCGTCACTTCCCGTCACCACTGTACCAGCCCTGGTTTTCGCGCCATATTTCCTTCATTACTCAACGAAATCGCGAACCGTTTGAAGCTACGGGTTCGTAAGACATAAGGCTACAACTTTTGTTTAGAAACCAGATTGAAATAACGAAGTTTAGATGGTTTAAAAAGGCTCACAAGTGGCTGATTTCCACAGGAAATATTTTCTTCATTCAACTTTTCGGGGCAACTTCCGGCAAGAATCGTGGCTACCTCCGGCAACTACGTTGACAACGATCACTTGCGGTCTATTCTTTATATTCTAATGAAACTATATGAACTGGAATGGATGAATTTGGTGTAGGAATGAAGAAGAATGGAGCTCCCCATTTATAGGTGAAGAGAAAGATTGTATGAAGTTTGATGCCTTCATTTCTTTGATCATCCCTTGATTTGGGGTGATTTTCGTTCGGCATAGTGGGAGTGGCGGCTGGTCATTGGAAATTTCACACGTTTGTCACTCATTGGGACTAAAATGGTCTCATTCGGGGTATACTTTTTTCTACAACTTTCTCCAAATTGAAATCTGATTGTACCGTTATGATTAGACAATCAAGTTCTACGTGACAGTATAATTTTCACATTTTTTTTAAAAACTTTTTCTGACACCATATTTTTGGGTGTTGACTTTGACAGAGTCAAAATTGAATTAATTAACATATAATTAAAAGTACTCTCATATTCAATCAATATTGTTCAATTTAAATAACTTATTTCAATATATCATTTTACAAAAGTTCACATCTTTGACCACTTCTCATTTTATGCAAATTACATATTAAAAATGTCGCAACTCAAAATCTGTACATTAGATTTGTTCATAAAATATATCGTTGGGTTTGTCTTTTCGAGACCTATCCATAAAAGTCAATCTTAACAAAAATCATTGACTCCAAAAATTTCTTCGCATTTGGTCAAACATAGAAATAATGTTTTGTTGGGTCAAAATATTGTTTTTAAACTACTTTTATTATAGAATAACTTTTAGACCATGTTTTGGGGCGTTACAGAAGTTCACATTCGTAGTAATTATCAATAAATCCACGTCGGAGAATATGCTCCGCTATTTATTCTAATTTCAAGTATTTAGTGTTCTTACATTTTTTGCACGGACAACGCATAACACCTCCAACTCTGTCGGTGTTTAGGTGTGACTCGCAGTGCTCCACCCATTTTCCAACTTGGAGAACCCAATCCTTCTTAAGAAGCCCGTTTATATCGTATTGTTTATAGATCCATTCACGGTCTTCCAAAAAATCATTCATCCTTAGCCTTATGCCAACTAAAATGATATATACATACACACACACAAACACACATATAAAAGTGTATAAACTTTGATAAAACGCGTTAATCACAGCCCCCACCCCAATCACAGCCCCTCCC